TACTTAGTTTGACTTATCATAACTTTTAAAGCATCCAACACATGACGGCCACTGACGACTTGATTTCAGATTTTCGTTTTTACGAGTTTGTTGTTGCATTCTACGATTATATTTTAGATTTCTTGAGCTTTGTTTTATCATAAAAACATCATTATCACCACCTTCATTCGATTTTATGCTTTTGACGGTCTTCTGTGTGGCATCAAAAGTTTCCGCAATCTGCAATACTTCTTCCAATGTCGGTTCACCTTTTTGTAATGCAGCAGTTTTAACCGATTCGTCTGGAGTATATAGAATTTATATATCAATTCACAATCTTCCCTTTTATATACATACAAATTTACATTCCCTAGCCATACGTTCACGTTTGGTTCTTATGTAGAATTCGTATCTTGTTTTGCTTATATGGACTTTGCTTTTATACTGACTATCCAACTTAGATACAATATCTGAATATGTCAAATTTTCCAAACCACTTTTCCCATAACTGTTGTCACCAATCCATGACAAGAAAAATTATCTCTTCCGCTCATCGTCATCAACAGCATATGCTTTAAAATGATTTTCCAATTGCCTTTTGTATGTATCAAAGTCATTCGAATCTTCATCGAATATTTGGAACTTCGGTATCGCAATACTATTTGACGCCACATTCATTACTGGGCTTGAAGTCTGTAGACATAAAATTTCTGCAAAAAATTGCTGTTGTTGTGCAAACATTTGTTGCGTCCATGCATGTTGGCGTTCCACAATTTGCTCAATAGATCTATGCATTTTAGTATTTTTCTAATTACAAATTCAATGATAGATTGATTTACAAATTTCTTAAGTAAATTTCAAATTATAAAACAGTAATAAAACATACATATCAAGAATATGAAACAAATCCATTAATGTATAAATATTGTCCATAAATTTAAAAAATCCTTGTCACTTTTAACGCTCTTTTCCTCTCACGCAGGAATTTTAAAAAAGTAAGCGAACGGAATCCGAAAAAAATGTGAATTTTATAATTTATGCAAATTATCAAGTTCGCGAACAAACCTAATATTAATTAATGAAAAGATTTAAAATGGAGTTTTTAAAAGCCTGAAGTTTATTTATAATTTTCTTTCTTTTTATTGGTTAAATGGAATCCCTTTTGGTGTTCGTTTTTATTCCACTTTTTTCATTATGCTTTTATTCTCCCCTCGTGCATTTAACTAAATACAACTTGAAAATTACTTTTAGCTAATGGTTGCATTGTGATTTTATTGGTTGCACTTATTGTTATTAATGATGTTGCAATTTTCTAGATGCGCTTCAATTAAGTTGCTAACTCTAAAAGTTGAAACTTTTTTCACAATGACCTATTTTTTAAATAGAAAGTATGTACGTGTACGCACATTCATGTATACCTATTTACAAATACATATGTACATACATACATATGTATATATTTATATTTGTATGTGAGTATATGATATTAGAGAATACATAAGTATTAGCCTTCGTTTCAAAAAAACAAAATGTTTCCCGTTTTTGTGATATCACAACTTTTTAGAGGTTTTTGTATCTAGTGGTCACTGATATAATTTTTGCTGCAATAATTTTTTTCAAAATTCCAACTCCTTCCCTGTATATCTAAGGCGGAAACCACTGATTTTAATCGAAACTGCAAATTGATTTAATTGATTTTATAAGAAAAATCAATAAGAATGAGGTTAATTTCACACTTCTCTAATGCTCCATTTAGTATTATTCAAAGATGCACTTTTTTCTTATGCATAATCAAAATATGCTTTTTGCTGACAAAAGTAGTGCAAAACAAAAATTCTATCATTAACCGTTTAGATGAGATGATACTTAAAATTTTCAGATTTTACACTTTAGAAAAAATTAAAAATTAATAAAAAAAAAAACATTATTTGATGGGAAGTTATTACCTTATTACTATTTAAGGGAATTAAATAATATATTTACGAATGATAAAATCAAGTTTTTATTTTTTTAAACTGCATTTTTCTAATGCTCTTATGCATTTACAGTGCATCCAAATTCTGTCAAATTAAGAGTACCCGGCAAAATCATTACTTACTCGGTAAGTATGCAAGTAATATTGGAGCAAAGTTTAAGTACTTTCTTTTTGGGTGAAGAACTACTTATTTTTGTTTGACGATGACCAAAAAATAACTAATTACAAATGTGCTTGTCCAACTATTCCGGATTTAAAACCGGCTTTACAGTTATTTTATGTGTTTATTGGTCTATTCTATTGCCCAATGCTCCATTAAAAAGTTGTTTTATCGTGCTATTTGGAATAGTTTTTACACACTCCGGATTTAAAACCGGCTTTACAGTTATTTTATGTGTTTATTGGTCTATTCTATTGCCCAACGCTCCATTAAAAAGTTGTTTTATCGTGCTATTTGGAATAGTTTTTACACAAAGGTACAAATCACTATTTCTTTAAAAATCTTCTAATATCGACTAGGTTTAAAACCATTAACTAATTCCTTATTAGACATACGCTCTATACATCTAGCTACAAATCCTATCCAAAAAAATTAAATAATTTTATTAATAAAGACTACTCATTACCAAGTAATGTGTGAAATAACTACATTACCTACAATACTCATTACCAAAATTTGAAAATATTTTACTGAGTATATATTAGGGTTGCCATTCGAATTAAAATTATTCGATTAATCGAGGAAAAAAAATTGTTTTTCTTCGAACGAATAAAAAATATCCAATTTAGAACAATTTTTGTCGATTAATCGAATATGTATTTGAATGCTATTTTACGAATATTTTATTATACCTATCAATGAAATTATGTTAATAATTCGAAAAACAAATCTAAATATAAACATACGTTATCATTAAAACAAAACGTTTACTTCTTTTTGCAGTTTATAATGTAATGCAGTTTACTTTTCCAGCTGAGGTATGACTCAGTCTGTCCAGGTTCAATTCAAAGGTCTGCTTCCTTTAAATGAAAATACAAATATTTAAAATGTGATGTGTAATTCGGAACAAAGCTTAAACTACTTAAACCTTAAACTACTTATGATCTACTTAAGTGTACGATGGTTATTCGGGAAGTTATCGTTGAACGATGGTTATTCGGGAGGCAATCGTTGAATGATGCTTATTCGGGAAGTGATCGTTAATTCGGAGGTTCTTGATTTCGACTAAGAATACGATCGCAAATACTACACAAGTTAGTTACGAATGTAAGAAGAATGCGTTCTTACAATCGGCAATTCTACAAATTCACACTACTAGAGCAGGTATTGTGTTAGATTCGGGCGGTATTTCGGTATCATGCACGAGTGCAGCACGAACGGCAATATCAGCTCTCCATCTAGTCATAAAACTCTGACTACTTATACATATTTCAACATAAACAAGTTAGGAATTATAAACTACTTACTTGTTTTATAAATTGTTTAATGTGTAACGTTTTGTATAATGTACTTGTTGTATGGGATGTTTAATGTAAGATGGTTTATTCCCAGCAAAATCTTTGCTTACAATGATTACCATTAAGTACTTTATTAATGACTTACTTTGTATGTAAAGTCTAAAAAAAATCAAAATAAAGAAACAAACATAAAACAGTTACTTTTTCATTTTTTCCTTTTTTTGTGCACAAGATATCAAATATCTATTTTTAGACAAACAGAAAATAAAATAGTATTTGTGTGTGAAAACTATTATTTGACGCACAATAAAACAGCTAAGCAGTGGTGTAGTGAGGTTAGCATCCAACTGGTAAACGGAAGGTATTGAGTTCAACCCCAGTCTGTGTCGACTTTTTATTTTTATTTTTTCATAAATATTCTATAAATAACTCTACTAAAAAAACAACTTATTTCCAACCAAATAATATTGACTTACTTTTGGAACATCTCAAACAAAAATAAGTACTTTTTCTAGTAAAATTGTAAGCACTTTACTCGATGAATTCTGGTGATTTTTCTAGTGAATTTGTAAGCAAATATTTTGCTGGGTTCATACAATTTATCTATTGTATGTATAGTTTTTTGACTAAAATGGCTCTAGTTTTAAATGTGTTTCTCTTCATTGTTTTAAATGTTTGCAATAAGTGAAAAAGATAAATATTAATTAATTTGGTTCTTTAAGTATCTGTCTATGTCGGTGATAGACATATGTAATCCTTCACCGAAAATTAAAATGAAGACACCACATAAAGAATAGGATCAAAAAGGCACATCGGTGCTCGGCGATATGTAGGAGAACTACAGGCATGAAATGGGGTCTTAGACCTACTACGACACATTGGTTTTATAAAAGTGTAATTAGACTAATTCAATAATCTGGTTAATTTCTTTGGACAAAAAGTGAAATATCAAACTACAACAGGGAGTTCAGCGTACATACTGCTGCCACAGTTTCCACTTTTAAATCCGTTGAGAAATTTAAAATAGGTTGAGATTCAACAAGCTACTGATTTATAAGTGTATTAACTTAAGAAAGCCGATTTTACCCGTATCTTAAGATTTTAAAGGTGTTTGGCAAATTTTATTTGTATTTTATTAAAATATTCGAATAGAAACTTTTATTTGTTATTCGTTCGAATAATCGAATAATTTTTAAAATTTTATTGACTACTCGAATAAAAATATAGTACATTTTTATTCGAATAATTGAAACCCTAGTATACATATATCCTAAAATTTCCTGTAGAACCGTATACTAAAGTCAAATTTGAAATATGTTCAGCAGTTTTTGGTCTATCAAAAAATTTCGCCCAAAACGACTTAGAATGCTATTGTGTAAGTAAATTTTAGCATTTTAACCTTTTCAATGTAAGTTTTTGCTGAGACTATCATGAAAATTGAGCAAATTGTCGATAGTTCTACCAAATCAATTTTATGTTGAAAATTCATACTTAGTCAATTTGAGTTCCAAATATTTTATCTAAGGGATAAAAATTAAAATAATTTCCACACAAATATGTATTTTTTAAAATTTTATTGTTGATTTATTTATTTAACAAATACGTATATAAAAGTATATAAAAATACAGATACATATGTATATGTATGTATTTATGTATGTATATAAATAATTATTCGTTTGTATACTTGTACTGTATACATTACAAATGTAAAAAAGTATTAAATTAAAACAAAAAATCGATCATTAAACAAACTACATACGTACGCAAACAAATAAATAGTATCTCATATACATATGTATATGGGATACTACATACCTACATATAGATAAATTAATAATGAAAATTAAAATGATACGTTCAATGTATTCGTAAAAAAGGATAAATTCAATTTAAATGTGTATCCTTTTATACATACATACATTTATATATATGTATGTATGTATGTATACATGCAAATGCATATACAAATGTATGTAAATATGCGTGATTACAGTTAGTGTATGTATTCGTATGTTGAATGAAAGTACTGCATGCAATACGTCAATCTTGAATCAACAAGCGATGTCAGTCATTTGTATACTCGTGCAACAAATTACAAAATCCATCAAAAAATAAGTAGGAATAATGCCGGAGTATGCGTTCGTTTATTCCCACACAGACTCAGGCACTTTAACACCTTTGTATGACTCGTGATTAAGGTAAAGCATTTATAAAATAAAATAATAATAATAAAAGTAGGAAATTATAATAGTAATAATAATATAATAATAATGTTGATAAAAATAGTATTGTTTTAAACATAAATAATTATATTTATGTATGCATATGAATATCTTGTATACGTGACATGAGTAAATATCAAAATATACAACTACAAACTTAAATAAATATTTAGTTTTTTTTATATTTACTACTAAAGTATGTTTTTAGTATTTTTTTGACCACAAGAGATTAAAAAGAATTCGTAACTAAGAAGCAATACAGAATTTTACTATAATTTTTAATAACAAGTATTACACGTTTGGCTTACATTTAGTTTTGTAGTCAATTACTACGGCTCATGGCAATAATCTCGGATTGAAGCGACCCATGAATAGTATCATGCCTGTTGGATTGTGACGGACAAAATAGAGGAATGGTTTGTCAAACCGTAATCTAGGAGCATCGGGGACGCGTGCTTGTCGTGGCCTTAAAGGCAGTGGAAGTTCCAGATATTTGGGATCCAATAAATCATCATAAAAACCGCGACCTAAAACAGAATCTTGAACTAATGAACCAAAGTCGATAATTGCCTCTGAAGAGTCCTGTTCGTCATCATCATGGGCATCAACATCTTTATTGCGTTTGCGCAATGGTGGAGCCGGATACATTTCCACGTGATGGTGATCAGCTATTTTTTCTTCGCCACATGTACTGAAAGTATTTATTTGAATCATGTCAGAGAGATAAATGTCACGATTGGATGAACCCGTTAAGCCTCCTAAATCGGCATAGTCGGACTTGAAGAGACCCTTTAGTCCCATTTTTTGTAGGCCTAATGTGGCATTTACAAATGATCGATGTGAAAATCTTGGTAGTTGTACTTCCATGCCGGGGCGATCCATTAGCGAGGTGAGTAAGTTACTCCAGGCATTCTTTGAAATAGCCGTTTCCATCAACTGTTTTTCAAGGCGGTCCAAGTTATCGGATGGTGATATAGAACTTAGATGTCCAGGCATAACATAAATCATGCTAGTGGTGTCCTGTATACGTCCAAAGGCCACAACAGTGGCATCTAAATTGGGTTCATAACCAGCAGTAAAGCCGCTCTTAAAAAGTACTGCAGGAATAGGAACTAGGCGTCTTTGTCGGACCGTTGGATGTACTTGGAAGAATATTTCCCCATCCTTATCTTGTGTAGATCCATGTGAACAATCAGTTTGGAAGAGATTTGCAGAGATCGTAGCCAATGGACCATTTACCCATACACTGTTAGTTCGCAAATATTCGAGGACTTTGCCCATTGTGTGGCGCTTCACTAATAGATTTGTACGTCTCCGAATGATGTCGTTAACGACATGGAAATTTACTTCCTCAACATGGCCGGCATACAATTGTTGCGTTTTTTCTTTAAAGAATTGCAAAATTTTACCATTAGCACGATCACTGAAAATTTCTCGTACAAATGCTGTTGTAGCAATGTCACTATCCATGGCCTTCTCAACAGAATCGGTAATATTTTTAAAAACTAAGTGAGGGTTGAATGTTACCATATCGTCGAGCTTAAGTACGTCATTCATTTCACCTGAAGTACTGCCACGAGCCCCTAGGAATACCATTGAAAGCATGGAAGTTAAAGCGAAAGGAGACATGACCAAACTTCTGGCAGAGCTAATTTTTTCTGATGTTATCGATTTCCAATAACTGAAAGCCAATTCATTACAGAGCTTTGCAAATGCTAAAATATCTTCATCCAAATTTGCCAGGGATGCTTCCAGACCCTTTGAATTACTGGGTGATGGGTCCAGTTTGACTGGTGGTCTTGTGGCCTGTGTGGAAGATATCATTAAGTTGCTCAGTTGAGGAGGTCTCTGCATAGGACGTTGTTGAGGTGTTGGTATGGTATAGGTGGTAACTTTATGAGGTGTATTTTCTTTTTGCTGTGTGTACGATGACTGCAAGGAAGGTTTATTGTAGAGCGGTTCGACTGGTTCGTGATACAAAGCGTACGCTGGTTGTTTGTTGAAGTATGAGACTGGCTTAAGCGTATTCAAACGTCGGGTTGTTGTAACTTTTGGTTTGTGAGTGGTTGTTGTACTAGATGTTGTAGTCGTTCTGGACGTAGTGGTACTTGATACGGGATTTGGTAGTTTGGGAACTTGGTAACCAATTTGATCATCCTCATCCTCTTCGTCAGCTTCTTCGTATGGTTGACCATAATTTTGTATTAACATACTTGATTGAGTTCCTGTAGGAACATCATTTTCAATTATTGAATGAATTGGTTTTGGTGGTGCTAACATAGGCATATCCTGTTCAAGACTAGGTATTTTATCAGAAACTATTTTTTCGACAGATGTTTGAGTTTCAACGTCCAAAGATAGTTCAGGTTTTTGAGTGGTTGTCGTTTCACCTAGTTTTATATAGGGGTCCTCATCAATAGATTCATCAGTTTCATCTTCTTCGGAGATCATGGAATTTAGCTCAGCAGAAGTTTCTTCACTCATTTGATATGCAGCGGTATTAGTTTCTTCAGTATTGAAAATTTCATCTGCTTTAACTGTAGTAGCTTCATCAGCTTCCGATTCTTTAGAAGTTGTTACTTGAGTGGTGGTTTCTAAAGAGTCTGTGAGTTCCTCCAGAATTTTCTCTTTATGAGTTAGATTTTCAGTTACGTTATCAATGACATTGACATGTGATTCAGCAGCTGCATTCTCTTCAGTCTCCTCAGTTGTTTCTGATTCATTATGCTCTATGAATGTTGTGGTGATTTCATTTGTAGCTGTTGTTGATTCAAAAGCATTTGTTGTTTGTTGTCCGATATTAGTGTATTCGGAAGATTCATCTTTAATTGTTGTTGTTTCCATTTCGCTTGAAATCATTTTATCTTCTTCACTTGTTTCGTTGGATAATTCAGTGGTCACTCGAACATCTTCGCTTAAATAGTCCTTTATTGTAGTAGTTTCAGATTTCAAATCATATTCCGAACTCTCGGTAACACTATTATTTGCGATAATGCTCTCATATGATTTATTCGGTATTTCTTTTTTATCAGAAATATTACTCTGATTTTCCTCACTAGAAGAAAATGTTGTTTCCTCAGACAATACGTTTATAAGAGTTGTTGTATCTACAGGGCTATCGGCTTCAAATAATGGTTCCCTTTCGACTTCAAAATTCTGTTGTTGTTGAGCATATATTTCTGGAAGGGATGGAATAGGGATTTTGGATGTAGTTTCTTCATTAGATTCAGTTAGAGTTTGGGAAGTTGTAAAATCTTCTTCAGAAGCAATAGTGGAGGTGCTGTCGTTGCTATTATCTTCTTCTTTGTGGTGTAGTTTCTCATTGTTTGCATTGTCAACGCTTTCAGTATGAGATTCAGTTGTCGCGTCGTGTTCTTCATTGTTTTTATGCACAGTTGTTGTGGTATAATCTTCTAGTGTATCTGAGGCGGTTGTTGTAGACATTAAATGTTCAACCTTGGTTGTATCCATATTTGTATTTGTTTCTTCTTCAGTTTCTGTTGAGTAGCTTTGAGTGGTTTTTTCTACAGAGTCGGTACCAAATTCTTCATTTTGTATATCTTTAACAGTGGTTGCATCGGGAAGTTGTGTTGTAATGGAATGTGTAGTAGAATCGTCTTGTACATTATAATTTCCATGATTAATGGTATGTGTGGTTTCAAATCGTTCATAAATTGGTTTATAATCTTGTTTGTAGTCACCATCCATATTGGCTGAAATGGAACTGGGATTTTGTGCTACCTCTTTAGTGGGTTTCATGAGGAATGATAAATCGAGTTGAGCTTGATTTGAATAACGGTTGTCATTAGAATTAGTTTGTTGAGTGTTAGAAATATCATTGGAGTTCGATATTTGTTTAATAACATCCGACATTAGGAATGCAATTTCATCTTTTGTCTCATTAGAGTTCATCATGCTGTAATCGGATGCTACGGTGTTGGTACCGTCAACTAGTGTTGAAGCCACAGTTGCGGCTTGAGTTTGGAAATCGGACATTGTTATTTGTTCAGATGGTTTGATTACTTCCATGTTGAGTTGAGGTTTAAGATCAGCTACTAATACAGGACGACTAACGTCCTTTTCATCATTGCTCATAGTTTCTACATTATGTGGCATAATCACAGGAAGTCTAGTTTCTGAATTGAGATGGTCAGTGTAGTTTTCTGTCGTTTGGTTTTCATCCTCAGTATTTTCTTCTCCATACGTAAATGTTGATTGCTCGGTTATTTTTGTTGTCGAGCCATAAGCAGATGTTTCATATTCTTGGTGGTGAATTTCATCTTGTTGTATCTTGGGATATGCTGTTGTATGTTCCACTTGTTTTTCAGCTAAGGTATTCGTGGTTTCTGGAATTTCTGTGTTAATAGTTGATTCTTTGATGGCATCAGTAAATGCTGTATAGCTGGGAAGTTCAGTAGTTTCATTATCATCACTTGCATCCTTTTCGGTTGACATGTTTGTGGTAAATTCTTCAGGCATCTTAGTTGTTACATATGATGCGGGACGATCAGTTTTCTTGTTTTCATATTTTATCGTAGTTTCTTCGGAACCATGCACATCAGTAGTCGATTCAAAATTTAGCAATGTTGTAGCGAGAGCGCTGTCTCCATATTGTTCATTAGAAGGTTTTGACGTAGATGATGGTTTCGGCTTCATAGAATTATCAATGGTAATCATATGCTTGTTAGCCATTTCTCCCTTTTTGTTTTCATTTTCACTGTTATCATATTTATCAGGCTTTAAGTTAGGATTATCTGAAGAAATTGAAATGTCTTCTCCTATCTTTTCGGCCATTTGATCGGGTTGCTTCAGTGTTTGCATTATTTGATCAAATGATTGTAAAGTATGTGCATCCTGTTCGTAAGGCTTGGATCCATGTTGCGTTAGTGCAAACGCTGGTAGCGGTTGTTTTTTGAACTGATTAAAGCTAAAGTCTTCTGAATCGTCAGTTGATATACCGTAAGATGGTACAGGATAACCCGAGGTTCCAGAAGTGGATGGTATATTGGCAGACGTTGCTAATTCAGGTTTAGTGGTTGTTATTCTTGTAGTTAGAATTTCTTCTCCATAATTATTTAGAGTTGGTTGATAACCGGAGAAATCTTGTACAATTAGTGACATATCAATTGGGCTATTAGTTGATGTTATTGGGATAGGTGCAAAAACGACGGTGGTCGATGGCTCCGGAACAGGTGTAGTCGTTGTTGTTGTGGTAGTAGTCGTGGTGGTGGTGCTTGTAGTAGTAGTTGGTTTATTTGGTTTAGGACGTGGTCTGTGATATGTCACATGTTGGAATTTATTGTGTGTGACTTCTTGATGAGCGGATCCTTCAGCAGCTAAATCGGAAGATGTTGTGACGTGAGGATATTTAGTATGCTGCTGTGCTGGTTTTGGCCTTGGCCTGTGAGGTTTGGGGGAAGGTTTCCGTTTTTCCCCAACCAAATGGGGTTTATCTGGAGTTGTGCTGGTTGAGTGAACTGGATGGCGAGTAGGCTTCTTCTTCTTTTTCTTGGGCGCTTTAGTAGTTGATGGTGCAACAGTGGTTGTTGTTGATGGGGCTGTAGTAGATGTGGAAGAAGGAGGTGAAGTTGTTGTAGGAACTGGAGTTGTAGTGGGGGCAGGAGTTGTAGTTGGTGCAGGAGTTGTAGTTGGTGCAGGAGTTGTAGTTGGTGCAGGAGTTGTAGTTGGTGCAGGAGTTGTAGTTGTGGTTGTTGTCGTAGTTGGCGCAGGAGTTGTAGTAGTAGTAGTTGTTGTTGTAGGTGCAGGTGTTGTAGTAGTTGTTGTTGTTGTAGGTTCAGGTGTTGTAGTGGTGGTTGTTGTTGTTGGTAATGGTGTTGTTGTAGTCGTGGTTGTTGTTGGTTTTCTCTTAATTTTTTGTTTGTTCACTTGTGGACGTTTTGTAGTTGTATGACCCCCATTTGGCTTCTTAATACGATGTGGTGGTAATGGTTTGTGTTGTACAGATACTGGTTTTTTAGCCAAATTTTCATTTAGTATAACTTCGTCATTCTCAACGATAGTATCCGGTTTCTTTACTACTTCCTGATTGTTTATGAATACTCGTCGTGTTGAAGTTTCTATTTCTGGAAGTTTGTGATAGATAGGTTGCATATGCAATTGTGAAAAACCATCATAGTTTTGCATAGTTGCCGCAAGATTTTGATACTGTTGCATACCAGTATAAACCGATTCTTGAGAATCAAGTTCTTCTTGTATTACTTGAGGTGTCATTTCAGTAGTTGAGGTTGTTGGTTTGCGTTTTTGTCCTGGTTTCCTTTTACTGGGTTTAGGCTTCTTGGTAGTTGTGGTAGCTGCTTCCTTTGTTGAAGTTTCGATAATTTCAGTATCTGGAGTCATGACAATTTGTTGAGGTTTCTGTTGCGGAAATATATCAACACCACCGGTGTTACCAAAAATGGCAGGTAATATCATAGACCAAGATGATGACACATCAGGCGTATCGAAAACCGGTAAACTATCTGTGCTTGAATTTTTATTAGATTCGACTTCCTTGTTAAGAACACTTTGTACACTATTGACGATATCTTGAACATTTTTCTCCGGGTCCCGATCCTCAATGGGGCCATGGTGTATAATTGTTGGCCCTTCACCATCTCCGTTTGCAACAATACTTTGGATTTCTTCCATAGTCATAAGACGTTTTACCAATTCACCATGTTCATCGAAGGTATAGAATTCATACCGATCGGGATTGAGGAGATCAATAGGGCTAGCAACTTGTAGTGATGGTTGTGGTTTAGGTACTTTTTGTCCTAATGCATCTGTGAATTCTGGTTCATTTCCATTCAAAATTACCGATACAGATGTTACAACACTAAAAAAAACAAAGTATATTAATACTTAGTAATTATAAAATTCATTAATTATATAGACACTTTGAATAAAATTATACCTAGTATCAATGCGAAAAATATTTTTGTTGTAATTCATTGAATTAAAAAAAAACGTATTTCACTTAGGAATAATATGTAATTTTAATGTATGAAAAATCTGTCTTATAACATTTTATCCAAAAGTGATTTTAGTATTCGCTGAAACATTTAATGTTGTATAAATTCTAAAATTGATGCATTTTACTTTTAACCAGGAAGAGATTTTCACAAATCATGTTGTATGGATAAAATCTCTACTTTTCATATTTTTGTTCATTAATAATGCTTGCAGCATATTGAATTGATGCATGCATTAGTTCACCATTGAATATGTGCGCTGGTTTTTTAAAATTACATGTTGCATAGTCATGCGAGTAAATTTGAGAGCTAAAAATCTTTCCAGTTTTACTGGAAAAAGGCATCAATACTCCCACTTCCATACTACTCGGATGTTTAGGTAAAGTGTATTACGGCAATAGCAGTTGCATCATCGCACACTATTACCCAAGCAGACATGCATGAACGTATGTATATATATGTATATTTACATATAAGATTCACTCAAATATATGAGTATGAATAGATTCAAACAAAAATGCTGGTTTGTACCTTTTGAAAAAATGTTCTTTCTGGCTATCATATCGATTTACCGTGAAAGATTAGACAAATTATGAATTCATATTTGATTATGAAAAATTCTGACCTGTGTGGTAACAAAGAAAAGGTACGTAAATAGTAAGTGGTTTTGATACTTTTTACCAGAGAAGATAACCATACTTTCAAAATACCACGGTATAAGCTAGAAAATCTGAAATAACACTTTTAAGTACTACACCATTTCTAGTTTTAATTCAGAACTTTCTAATTGTATTTCAGAAATATCTAATTATGTTTCAGAAATTTCTAATTATGGTTCAGAATTTTCTAATTATATTTCAGAAATATCTAGTTATAATTCAGGAATATCTAATTATATTTCAGTAAATTCTTGTTATATTTCAGAAATTTCTACTTGTATTTCAGAAATATCCATTTGTATATCAGAAATTTCCTTTTGTATTTCAGAAATATTGCATGAAAATTCTATTAGAATATTCTGAAATACAATTGGAAAATTCTGAAATACAAATGGAAGTAAAATTTTTATTTTCTGAATTACAATTTGAAAAATTTTAAATACAAATGGAAAATTCTGAAATACAATTACAAATTATTTGACTTAAGAACACATTCTGAATAAAATTTCAAAAATAATTAAATTTGGTTTGAGTTAGATCTTTTTCTATGTGTACGCTCTACATAGACAATAATTAGGTATAAATTATTGCAATCGGCCATATCCGAAATCATTGAATAATTTAATTTTCAAACAAAATAGGAATCTTAAACAATAAATGGTGGTAAAATTAAAAAGAAAACAGATTTGAATGGCTATAATTTTAAAATAAATATGTATGTATGTATGTAAGTATTGCAAATGTAATTTCCTTAATGGATTTATTGTACATAAGTTCGTACATATGTATGTATGTATACAAAACAATTAAACATTTCTTAACATCTGTTCAACGCTGACCAACGAACTAAATATAACATATTTTATGTATCTGATAGGAAGATCCTTATTGCCAACATTATTTGTGATTATATCCATACATACATAAGTTTATACCATTAAATGAATGTACATCTGTGTGTTTATGAGTTTTTTACATTAAAAGAAATCCCCCAAAAAAAGCTTTAAAATAGCAATAAAGGAAAAAGGTGGTAAGTAGCATAAACAAAAACCCCTTTTACGTGAAAACGAACATTAAATGTTGTTAATTATACAAAAGTAAACTTTGAGTATACCGAAGACAGTTGCTGGACCTAGATTGTGTGAAAAGGAACTTTTACAACAAAATCAATTTAATTAAAAATAATGTGAAAAATAAATAACAAAGGAAAGCAGCAACAGACATTTCCTAAGAATCTTAAGTAATAATGATTTCCATTTAATGCTAATTATGAAAATGGGTCAAATCTATACCGCAAGACTATTATATTATCATGTTGGCCAATAATATTATTTAAAAAGGATTTTTACTTTTTTTACTGTCCTAAAACTACAACTGGCGTGGCTATAAAATCTAAATTAGTTTTATAAACCCAAATATATTTTCGAAATAATGACTTTTCTTATAAGGAAAACAATTTTAAATTGCGCAACAGATTTTTTCATTTACATATTTAATAAATTTATGTTTTTATGAAACAAATTCAAATGTACATACATACATACCTACTAGGGTATTGATAAATACTTATTTGAGGTTTTAATTAAGACGGTTAATAATCGAGTAATTAAAAATTTTCCATGTAATCGGGTAAAATATTTTATTAATTTCACATTTTTCTTTATTCAACTTATTGAACCGATTTAAATGAAATTTGACCATGAACCAATTTAGCTACACAAATTTGGATCTATAGCATCTAGATTATCGAAAGTATTTCTATCGAATACCACGCACCATTTTACTAATATAAAAATCAAGAAGAACATTTACAAAATCCATGTTTTGTTAATGTTTACTTTTTTACCGGTTGATGATTGCGTATTATATATAAATTTAACATTAAATCTGCCCTTTTAACGTTTTAGAAACTAATGAACAAAATAAGATCCATCCAAACATAATCTACATTTTTTTGGGCTCCTCTAATAGCATCCAAAAATACACACAGATAGGCTGAATGACAGACGTAAACATATAGTGAAACATTGAGAACTTCCTGATACGATATATATATGTATTACTTACCTTGAACCAATAATTTTCTTCGACAAGTCATCATCCTTTTCAGAATTATTGTTAGAATTTGTGTTCGTATTGCTTGTGTAGGATGTTGCTGATGGCGATGATGATGTTGATGAGGTTGCACTGGCCAACTTAACTGCATTGACAACCTTGTTGGTTTCCGGTTCAATGTGTATTGGTACTTCGGCCTTATAAACATAGGCTGACTGTAAAGATGGTTTTGTTGACGTTGCGGATATTGCATCTGATGATGCCGATATGGGACCAGATGATGTAGAGGTTGATGTTGAACTTGTTTTCGATGTTGTAAAGTAAGTTAAATTTGGGTTTTGATCTGGATATTTTTGTTTTTGTTGTTGTTGCTGCTGCTGCTTGTGTTCTTGTTGATTTTGATGTTGTTCATGTTGTTGGAGTTGAGCATAATGAAGGTTGAACTGTGGAATTATGTAACCACCACCATCATCATCGTTGCCACCACTATCATCGACCGCAGTTGGTTCATCAGCATAAGTTGGAGGATAGGCGCACGCAAAGCCAACAACAAATCCAAACGCAGCTAATACTACAACAAATTTTATCGAATACATTGTTGTTGTTGTTGCTACTATTGTTTTACTTTAATGCTCGAGTTTATTGCTGTTTTTGTTAAACAATAACTCTTTTCAAAAATAGAACAGACAGAACAGTTAAGCTACTGCTGACCTTTTCTGTTTCTTATTTCCGTTTCTGTACTTATTGTTTTACTTTCAATTCTATTTGTTTTTTTTTTTATTTTGTAACCTTTGGAAAATTTTCTCAATTCTTGTAGAAAAATTAAAATGTTTTTTATTGTCGACAAGCTTGTTTCTTGACGTGGCTATTTTTTTTCGATAAAATTTATATATTTATTTTATATTTTTCGCTGCCTCCCACTAATCTCTTAACAACTTGTTTCTCGTTTAAAGTATTTTCTTTTATTCCTTTGATGGATGATTTTATTATAAAAGTGCCTTTTTTTGTCCGGGATTTGTACCCTTTCTTTGTTTGTTCCAAGTATGTATATATGAGAGAACAATAACTGTGTGAAGAGGTCCTCCTTTAAATACTGAAAAAAGAAAAAAAAAATAAATAAGACAATGCAAAAAGGAAATTGTTAATAATTAATGCGTTTATTCGACCATTAAAAAAATAGTGAGTAGGAAGGGTGTATAAAATATTTACTCACCTTACTGAAATCACAACGTAAATAAAGAATTAAAAAATAAATGGGTATGTATATTTACTACGTGTATATTTACTACATGTATGTATATTTACTATGTATGTATATGCTACATATGTATGTATATTAGAGTCACTTTAGACGATTTAACTACCACGTGTTTATGTAAATGATGTTTTTCTATCTCAATTTTTAAAATTATATAAATACTTGAAATCGGTCTATTACTTTACTTAACTTCCATACAAATGTGTTTCCGAAGTCGGAATTTACATCTCATAAGATACTGAAATATTTAACTTAAAAAATATACTTTCTAGATATGCAAATTTAGCACATTTATACACATTAGGGTGGTCCGGTTTCGGATCCCACCGAAGATGAAAGCTTGGTTCATTCTTAAAGTCCTGGGGCCAATATTCGGTGAGCTGGGTCAAATGATAAAAAGTTCCTTTTTGGAAAGATTCTTTCTGTGTAGAAGACCACTGTTATTTAATATCAATCATGATTCATTTATTTATGCCATAGTGTCCCCATGTCATACTAATAGATGTTTTTCTAAAATTGTTATTGCTTTAAATAACAGTAAAAGATTTTATTTTTGTGTTTGAGATTTTGTCATTTTATATTTTATTCTTATTAGTCATTTTTATTAGAACGAATTTGAAAACTTGAGTGGGGGAGTGACCTTAAGCTATACATTGTTGACTTCACCTAAATTACCACAAACTGTAACAGCAGTAACAGCAATAACAAAAACAACTACATTAACATTAATGCAAATTGATTTGTTAATTTGACAAGATTTCAATTAATTTTTTTGGTCATGTTCGAAGTTTGTTGTTTGTTTTTTTGTTCTCTTTCTTTTTTACTTTCTATGAGTTATGTCCTTTTCCTTTGCAATGCATGACTGGCTGTCTACGTAAATATGCGTGAGAGCGAAATTGTTTTTATTTGTGAGTGAATTTTGTTTGTACTTTTTGTAACTTTTGTAAATTAATAAATTGTATATTATAACTTGCACGTAATGAATGTTTGCTAATATCACTGTGAGAAATACATAAATTATTATAAAACCTGCCCTTCACAAATTGATTTCATTTGGATCTAGTATATAAAACTAATTGTTACGGAATTTAATTTCTTAAACTATCTAAAGCAAAATTATAAGCTAGACGGAATATTGTACAATGTATCGTGTTAAAATATTAGTTCTGTTTATACTGCATTTGTACCTATATTTCGATAAATTACAAAAGCAATTAGAAAATCTATTTAGCCCTCATCCTTGTAACCGATATATCTTTCTTCAAGTACAGGACTAATAAGTATGAATGAATCTGTGTATATCAAAAAGGTAAGTAAGTAGTCGTAAATACCTTTAGGCATAAATTGGTTGTTTTGCTGAGTGTTTTTGAAATTTCCTGAAACGATAATGTGTTTGAACTCAGAATCTTGTTTATTTTAAAATCAACTTAAATTGATTAAAAGGAAAAGTTTTTAAACTTTATTGTTGTTTTCGCTTTTAGAATTAAATGAAATTTGATGTTATTTAATTCCATAAATAACTAATTGATATTTCATAACAACAAATAATGGTGTACAATTGTAAGGATTACAATTTTTTGTTGTAAAACAAAGAAATGCGTGCAGAAATATTTTCAGTAGAGTTTATTATATATGTAAGTATATCAATGTTGAAAATTTAAGTGAAATTTGACTCACGTCAATGTCAAATAACTAATGCATGTAAAATCCAAATAAATAAATTTTTGAAAAACTTTTTAATACCTATTTGTAAATGATGTCGAAGACGCAGAACAATTCCTTTATGTTTGCATTTTTTTCTAATATTCAAGAAAATGCACTTGTTTGTTAATATTACTGACGTGGTCATGTAGATGAATATAGGCCTTTATGTATGTGGAAGACATTTTGCAATTTTGGCGCTGTTGCATGCGCTAATATTCTCATAATTATACTAATAATACCTTCAAATAGATACTTAAATTTAAATACCAGTAAAGGGGATGAGTGGATAGATACATTTGTATGTATTTATGGATGTTTAGATGATTGTTTGAGTACGTATGTACTTGGTTGTTTGTTTGTCTGTTTCGTTGGTTGAGATTCATTGTAAAGAGTTTTGATCACTTTCATAAATGCTCAAAATATGTATGTTTGTAAGTGGCTCCTTAGAGGCTTAGAATATACAAACAAACATTTTTATAAACCTCTTATTATACATATTTATGTGTCTACATGTGCATGTGAATAAACACACCAAACAAAATTGTAATAAATACACATTGATATTCAGCGGAAAAGAATAAGAAAAACTTCTAATAGAATATAATTTTTATCACTTCAAAAGTAAAACTATATTGAACACCCTCCATGATTTACGTCGTAGACAAATGACTAATAATAAACTGTTAGCTACAGAGAGATAATATTTTAGGGAAATTTTATTATTAAGCCAAAAACATATACATACATAGATGGACCTTCACAATATGTGTATGATAAAAACAATAAAAACAATAAACTCATCCTTCCTTTAAGATCTGAAATATTTAAAATCAATAGGTTTTGATTAAAATTCGGTATATCCATAAAATGTGTGCGGGATAATCCATAAAATGTGTGAAATCTGGTAAAATGAGTAACGTTGTCGCTGTCGTTAAAACAATTTCGCTGTTTCTAAATATACGCGAGTGTAAGTAGCATTTCTAGTTTCTATGTGAAAGCATGGTGGTATGTAAGTAGTATTTTAACGTATAAACCTAAAAGTATGCTATTTTACGCCTCTCTAATGGAAGTGTTTTGCAAGATGTTACGGTACTTACTTGCATACAACTACAAATACTTTAGTTTGCTTTCACCAAAAAGTAAAAGAACAATTCCTTTCGCTCTATATGCTAAAATTGGTTTTAAACTAAACGTTAGTAAATCAAAATTTTAAAGATAGGATATTTTTAGTAAGTACTCGGGGTATTTTAGTTAAAGTGCTACAAGAAATGTAGTTGTAAACTATGTACATATGTATATTTTCATATTTATAGTAAAGTTTTAAACATTTGTATATGTAATATCAGCATTCATCGCATACAAATGTTTCTAAAGTTGTAATATTGTTTGATTAAAAAATAAATAAATTGGAAATGAATTCATGAATACACACGCATATGTTTGTTTGTGTGTATGTAGATAATCTTCCCAGCAATTCGGTCGGACAGTCCCGAACTCCCTATTTAACCTACCACATAGGATTACACCTAGTCACCGACCATCCAGGTGTCTAGCTATTTTAACATGTGCTTGTCCTACAAGGAAGTCAATCGTCACCCAATAAGTTACAAAGAGAAAGACAAGTGCTTGTCAAGTGTCTCCCCTCTCGCTTACAAAGGGGACACTGAAGTGATGATTATCTTCACCCTAGGTTACATCCTTGACGAAAGACGAATTAGAGCCAACCAGGTGGTTAGACGTAGTGGAAATCACTATCTTTTTCGAATGCGTTGACACTTTATCGATCTGCAGGGTTACGTATACGCATTATATACATACATACATATATGTATATGAATGTATGAACATACATACATATGTATGTAAAACTGTCAAACAACGAACACTTTAGACAATCCACAATAATTCCATTTCATTCATTTTTTTTATTGGTTTTCGTTGATTTTTCCTGTAAAAGGATGAATGCTTTTAATCCTTGGTCTATCAACACAACATTAGTAAAATGAAACAATAGATTTTGCCAACAAATATTCACACAAAGCTAAAATTCCCCGTTGTTATTATTATAATATGTAAGTATTGACATTACCAAAGCAAAACGTTTATGCATAGACACATGCCAATCGGAAATATATTAAGGCTTTTACTTTTTAGTCCTTTATTTGTCTTTTATAATCATTCCAGAATTTCTGTCTTATTTCCAAATATTTTTGACTTCTAAAACCACAGTTTTATAAAAAGTTATAAAAGTGTGGCTTACTTTAAGGCCTCATAAACGGCCGTCCTATACACTATCACTCCTACTTACATATGTATATTGATAGTGAATTATCATATCGAATTGAATCCTCATTGATTTTTTAACAACTTGACGTTTGGGTATTAAAGGGCAAAATTATAAGTATGTTTATGTTAGTATTCTTATACATACACAGAAAAAACTGAAAAACGATTTCAATTACCAAAACTTCGTTTTCAATTATTTTATTTTTTGAAGTTCAACCTATAACAAAAATTGTATATTCAATTACTATTTATAATTGATTTCGTACACAAAATTTTTATTTTTTTCTATTTTTGTTGTTGTTAAATACGTATGTATTTGATTATACATTTTTATGAATCAAATACAAAATGAATTGAACCCTTTTAAAATTTTTGATTAATCGTTTAATTGAAAATTTTTTAAAATTAATTTTTTCTGTGTACATACACATACATGAATGTTTAAATTCCGTATTTATGTTAAAGAGCTTAAAAACACATAATAAAACAAAAAAACATGTTGAATAAATATTACAATAATGACAACTATAAATACACGATGACATTACATTCTGGCAGTTTACAAGACGCCAATGTATCTCTTATCATATAACTTTTTTGTAAATTAAGGGTTATAACTCAAAATCCCTGTGATTAGATTTATTTTAATCACTAGCAACAAATCATTCTAAAGTGTGGTACAGTCCCAAACTAACCACCTAACCTACCAATTATGATGGCTTCTAGCCACCGACTGCTATTTGAACAAGTACTTGTCCTACTAGGAAGTCAATCGTCACCCCATAGATTACGAAGAGACAGGCAAAAAGCTTAAGTTTGATTTTTAAGTGTCCATTCTCTCGTTT